ACCCACTTCCCACCACACCCCATTATCATCGCGGTCCGCACACAAATAATAATAATAATAATATTATGTGATATATAATGTACGTCCGCACGCACGCACACACACACTCGCGTGTATCATACATTATCGAGTTTATAATATGTATAATATATTATTATTGTTGTTGTTATATTGTCGCGCGATAACTCCGCCGACGGAGGGGTCGGAGAGGGTTGGAAATCGCCTGTTAAACGATGGTTTTATATAATATTACTATGATGATATACGACCGTCTTTCGGTCAGCGCTATGTATAGCACATAATATTATTATTATTATATAACGTAGGTATATATAATATCTCAAGGTTTCCCGAATATTACGATCGTTTCGAATCTGTCTTGGTCACGGCGAAGACCACCGGTGCCCGCGGATCTAGCGTACGTACCTACCTATACCTCGTTCCACGGATCCACACAATTCCCGAATAAATTCACTCAGTAGCAGTGATGATATTATACCTGAAAATACCACGACGGTGATAAGACGAAATGACATTTCGTCGCTAAAGATTCCTAATCGGATTTTTTAATTATTAATATGTATAAAATATATAAAGAAATCGCTTGTCTTATTTTTAATCTGTTGCAACACAATATTTCCCTATTACAGATATGGCAGAGAACTTTCTTATTTATTAATTTACCAGTGGAAACTTAAACTGTAGGGGAGGGTGCTGTATGTTTAAACAAGTGTGTTTGCTAGTTTGGTAGAATTTTCTAGTGGGCATCCGTAGATATCTGCCATGCCCGAGTGGGGGATGGCGGCCTTTCTCTCTCCAGACACCATGAATGCCGGAGAGAAGTGCAGACCGTGGCCGGGTTTCGAACCGGTGACTGTGTGCGTCGCAACCGACGCCTTAGTCCGCTTGACCACTCCGTCCCTCAACTTATTCTTATTGATGAACCGTGTATTTGACATTTGTACATTCCGTAAACAGTTATTATATAACAAAATATAAACTAATTGTAATAGTTTAATACTCTAATATTGTAATAATTACTATAAGAGATTATTTTTTATCGATAATATACCGTTACGAAATTACCATTACGTGAATAAATCATGACGTGGATTGTGGGTAATGATCTTAAAAGGTTAGGTTAGGTTAGGTTAGGCGAAATTACTTCAACAAAGATTAATATAAACAAAAGTAAATTGGTGGAAGCGTAACGTCTATAATATAGCATAAAAAAACTTCAATAACTGAATAATTTATGAGTAAAAGAAACTATACCTATACTGAAACATACGTACCTAATAAGCACTATAGCAATAAATAATAATTAATATAAAATAAAATATAAATATTTTCTAATATAATATATTGTTGGTTCTTACCTACATATTTTACAGCACCAAGCTTAATTAAATTTACATTAAACATAATAATATATACGCTTTGGTGAAACTTTACAGGAAAATTCTCATTCACGAAGAATTGTTAGATTTACAATACATTGTTTTACTGTTAGTCCTATATAAGCCCACACGAGACTGCTGAAAACATTAGATAATATATCTACATACAGTACCTACATTACAAAGTTCATGAAATTCTGGCGTGAACCGTGAAAATAACATGCATCAAAAAGCATCAAAACAAATAGCGTGTTATATAAGTACGACTTACTGATGGAGGAAATTATGTTTTATTTTGTAAAATTGTTTTTCCATCCGAAATTAATACTAATATTATTTTAACGATACAAAACACCTATATCAATAGTGATATTCAGAAGACCAGCAAACGAAATATTTAAACAAAAGACCATTATTTGGTATAATGTTACGAGGTATATAATATAATAATATAATAATAATATGATTCATTCATTTTTTCATTCATTATCTCGCCATCTATAGATTTAAATAACTTTAGAACGTTTTTTTGCGTTTTTGAGTTTATGGTATAAATAATTATTAAAAAATAATTAAAGTACTCTTTGTTCTAAACCAGATGCTTAAAATATGTTTTATATTTTCATTAGGTAGTACCCCACTACCCTAGTCATCTTTAATTTGTATGAGTAGGTGCCGATTTACAAAGTTAATCAGCTAGGTTATATTAGACAATTTTGTGAAAATGTTTATTCAAACTATTTTTCTATTCCTTACACCAATCATATTGTTTTTGGGAATGCAAACAATATTTTTTTTAGACATAATTTGCACTTTTATGGTTTATAGTTATGTAAGGCATATTGAATTATGATTATTTAGAATTAAAAGTTAAATTAAATAAAATACCTATTTAAGCAACCTTATTATATTAATGTTATCTGTATAGTTTATTTTGTGTTAATATAATGGTATGAATAAAATATGTATGTTGAATCAAACTAAATAGTTGTATTATAGGTACAAAACAAAATCTTGATTTTTCTTTTAACAGTCTAGTTAGTATTTGAGTTTTTTCATACTTCTACTAATAAATCCTCCATTAAACAAAGGTATTGTTTATTCATTTTAATTTGATAAATGGATTTCGACAATATAGTTTTGTATAATTTGTGGTAATGATTTAAATACAATATAATATGAATATAATAGTATTTCAGGGTCATGAAAGCTCATTAAAATATAATCTACAGAACAAAATAGATATATTAGACGGAAAATAAATAATTGAAGTTTTTTTGAGATAAAATTATTCTAAACAAACTTTTATTTATAAAGCACCAAAAGTAATTCCATTTTAATTTTTTTTTTCAAATGTAAAAATGGTAAAAAAAAATTCAACCATTATTGTGTTATTATAATATAAGGATTCCTCATACTTTAATGCAAGAAAACAACCTTTTAAGATATTAAAACTGTTTTTGCTATTTTCTTTTAAGTGCCTATCTTTGTAGGTATAAGAATAATATAAAGAAACGAATTGTATTTTGTTCAAACGTTATATTTTTTAAAGCCACTTATTAACTTCTTTTATTTTTATTAACACTGTTTCAATGCTGTTTGCATATTACACTAAATACAATTTATATGTGTATTATGTTTATTTATGTTAACCTTAAAAACTACTATTTTTATTCCAAGTAACGTCAGTAACCATTATTATATTAATGAACACGACAAAATATAAATATATGTTTTACATAAAATTATTATTTTAGAACTTGTTTATAGAAAATGTTATTCTATGAGTAATATAATATAGTTGGCATAATATTAATAAAAAAAAATCCTTCGTTACATTTATAAACGTCAAAGGTGTTTACAACTTAAACTAAAATATCCTCTTCTTTAATATGGGAAATTATTTAATATAAATTGTAATTTATAATAATTAAAAAATATAAAATAAGATAAAAAGGTGTTTACAAAATATTTTTATAACGAATAAAATGAACACCATAAAATTCTAGATTCATTTTCATATAGATATAAACTACAATATAAAGTATTATTTAATTTTGTAATATATTATGACATGACGTATTGATTTCGATGTGAAAAAAATAGTATTTCTCACTAGCTATCAAATATGTATTTATAATCAAACGGATGAGAAACTTACTTACTTATTGTTGTCCGCTGCTGCTTAAAGTCTACAATAGTCATGTAAGGGTGTCCGTGGTGATTCCGGAAATTTATAAACTTTAAAGTGCCTACCTATAATATTTTTTAGTTCCAATTTTTAGTTAAAAAATTAGCTATGATGGTTACGATATTTTGATAAAATAAAAAAAAGGCTATAAGTATGATACTCTTTTAGTCTCCTTCGAGATTTGTGAATGATTCAGTATATTGATTAATGAATAAAATATGTACTTGTAACTCATCTTGTTTTGTGTATGATTAATTGTATATTTAATATTAATTAATAACTGAACAAAATACGTTATATTTATATTGTAATATTGTCACAACCTATAAACAATCATAAAATATTACAGTATAATGTAACATATTATAATGTATTTATATTTTTGATAATTGGATCATAACGTATATTATTATATTACCGTCGTAACCTAAGAAGCAGTTAAAACTAATAAATTATGTGGATATTATGGGCAAAGTAAATATATAATAAATTCAAATAGTATCATACATAATATTACTATACACTCCTTCATATTTGATTTGTGTTTGGTTTTTTTTGTGTATATATTGTGTACGCATGTTCATAGCAGTACAGGTGCTTTGATTTTCAACTTCAATTTTATATTTTCTGGTGGGAAATCTGGTATCTATTTGATGTTTTTGGGGATTAAAATTATAAATTCCCAGTACTTATCAAATATTTGCCATGCTCTCCGTAGAGATAATTGAGGTACATCAATAAAATTTGTGGTTAAATTATTATATAGTAATTATAGATAAAAAAAAAATCAATAATTTAATAAATATACCTATCATTTAATATATAATAATTATTATCACTATCCACTATATCGGTATTGCATCAGTAACATTGACGAACTCAGAGGTTCCCAAAGTGTGGGCCGCGATGTATTTACAGGGGCGCTGATCAGCCGAAGAATTTTATACGATTCAAAAATAAATTTTTAAACCCAATCATGGCGGTGATGGAAATAATTACGATTATGTAAATAAAAATTTTTAAATTATGTATAAGTTAAACTAAATAAACATTTTCATATTAACCATCACGCTTTTTACTGTTTTTTATTTAATTTTTCTATTTTTTATGATTAATCAAGATATGGCTTGGGGAAGGGTACCCTGAGGAAACCCTAGTCCAAATAGGGCGATGTAAACCAAAAAAGTTTGCGAACCCCTGAACTAACCAATACTTTTTAACTTAACACTACTTACTGTATCTATGAAAAAATACACTGTGAGATCCAATAGACCAACTTCATAAAACTCTTCTTTATAACTCCATTTTATACTTATTTTTTAGAAAAAAAACTTATTTAATTAATAATATTTTACACCTATGCATACATTATTAATTTAATGATAATCTTGCATAATATTATGTTTTAGGCCAAAGTACTATATAGAAGAAGTTAAAACCAACTACAAAGTAAATATGTATCTCAATATTCAGAATTTGGATATGAATGATCTGGGGTCGTACACATGTTTGGCGTCAAATTCTTTGGGACAAGCGAACAGTTCAGTACGAGTACACAGTGAGTGCAATAATCAAGTGGATATTATTTTTTATTTATCAACAAAATTGTGTTATAGAAATCACCAGTCAAATATTGTTTTACGTAAGATTTAGATGTATTTTGTAAAATAAATTACCGAGGAGAAAATGATTTAATAGTCAGTGTGTTCGTTGCGCTGCAGTATTATAATTTGCGACGGATTTGATGAAAATAAAACGAATTTTGTTTGAGTTGTTAAAACACAAGCTAATTGCATAATTTTTTCTGCTTTGTATGGTTCGTACACCGTTTGTGGGCGAATTTGTGCGGTCGGGTTAATATTTTCTCTGCAGCACGTAATTCATATAATACTGTGCCGTCTGATTAAATAACTATTTAAAAGCGCTGCATGTTTTTATGATAAAATAACATAATAATAATAATAATAATATTAATATTATAATACAGTTATGTCCCGCACATTACTCACGTCGACCCTTTCTATTGTTCATATCCGCAATATGTATTAGCATAGTATAACCAACCGCCAGGTAATTGATTTTTATTATCATTTCTACACTGGGTTTTCTATGTTAAAATATCCTGGATCATTATTGCATAATATTAATTAATAGTGTTTAGCGGTTACTGTACCATCATAATACACATTATATAATATTATAAATACCACACTAAAACTATATTATACTGAATTAAAAACGTTTTGCCATTAATAATATTAACACCTCGGAGTATTGGTATGTGAACTACACGAGTACCCATGCGAAATAAGGTGAATAATATTATGATATATTGTCATTAATATAGCGCGTACAATAAAGTTATTATCTATATAGAGTATTAGAAATTAGTGTATCAGAAATAACTAGAAATGTATGTAATAAACTATTGTTATAAGTATGCAACAATATATTGTTGAACCAATTAATACATTTTTTTTCTTCATAGGTAATCTATTCAATTATTATAAGATATGTATAAAAAAAAATGAATAATAATATATGGATTAAGATAAAAATTATTATTATGATAATTTCGGTGTTCACTTTCAACTTTCGGTTGATAATTGTGATAAACTCTATATTATAATAGTAGTTATTCTTCTTCTTTTCTTGGTTTCGGCCTTTAAGACCATACCGCTAAATACAAATCTTGCCATCTGTCCCTATCCTCTGCAGCTTCTCTCCATCTGATTCCTAGATCTATCATTTTTAAGTCATTTTTAACACAGTCTTCCCACCTCAGTCTGGGTCTTCCTAGAGGTCTTTTACCTATTGGTTCATTCTATATTACCTGTCTAACTAGGGATCCTTGTTTACGCCAGGCATGGCCCCCCCAACTGAGTCTTCTTTTTGCGATCTCCTTAACTATGTCAGGTCTCTGAAACTGTCTTTTGAGTTCATCATTATGTAACTTTCTCCATTCATTTGTTTCACTGTCAAAGACCGGTCCATACATTTTTCTTAAAACTTTCCTCTCGAAAACCCCTAGTCTCTGTTCTTCAGCTTTCCTCAATGCCCACGTCTCGGAGCCATACAGGACAATAGGTCGTAATAATGTCATATACATTCTTATTAGAGAGTGTCCTCGATTTTAGTATTTTTTCTAATCCATAATATCCCTTGTTAGCTAATTGTATTCTTGACGACACCTCTGTCTTAAGTTCATTATCTTTGGTGATAATCGATCCTAGATATTTGAATTGTGATAAATAGTAGTTATTACGATGAGCATTTTTATTTTTATCTTTCCAATACAGTTGGTGCTAAATTCTCTCGTGGAACCTAATTATACCGGAGAGGTTACCTCTGTACATCTGAGATTCTGAAACATCGACGAATACAAATAGACGGCGTAACGTATTGAATTGTTTGGTACGTTAAATTCGTATTATATTATTACAGAAAAAAGTGGTTAGAAAATTAGATCTATATTATATGTATACCACACCCGAGTATTATATTTTTTTTTAAAAAAAATGTGTTTCCGGAAGTGGATATGCAAGGGGTGCTGAGTACCTACTTCCGCCGTGCAATGATGATTCGCATTAATTTTTCGCAAAAACAAAGCACATCCTACAGTATATTATGTTTATTTTTTTGACGATACGATAGCACCAATCAGTATTTTACTAATCCCTTTAAAAACTATAATGAATCCCGCGGATACTACACTTATACACCAGAGTTTCATCAGCAGTGACGGATCCCAGGGCTTAGTTTTGGGGGGTGCAAAAGTACAAAAATTGGCTAAACACAGTATAAAACAGAGGGAAACTACGATGAGGGGAGGATTCCCCCTTTGTCCCACCCCCCCCTGGATCTGCCACTGAGTTTCATTACTAACGTGGTATAACACATCCCTGGTGCAATATACGCCAGGGAATGGCTCGTTAAACGCACGATAAACATGTTTATACATATACAGGGTGTAACAGAAAGATATGACAAATACATATACTGGAAATGTTCCTAAACAGTTCAAAACAAATCAAAATGTTTTGAAAATTTTATCGTGTATAGAAAATGCAAATATAAACTACCAGTGAAAATGTCATGTATATACGTTCATTTGTTTTAGAGTCTAACCAAAAACCAAAATCGATTTTGTCATATCTTTCTGTTACACCCTGTATACCGTGGTAGGTCCTATATACGACGGCTCACCCAAAGTTTATTTTATTTTTTTAACAATAAAGCTATGATACAAGTTTTAATAGGTCCCATACACTTTGGTCGACGTTTTGTTCTGTCCTATACCTGGTTATTGGTATACGGGTTAACCCGTATTTTATTTATGTCAATAGCGTGATTACCGTAAAATTAATTACATTTCGACTCGGTAAAAAAACGACCGTTTTTCTCTTGATCAAGTGCCAATAGCTCGTGGCCCGCGAGCTAAGTAAAACAAAAAAACGACTGCGACGCCGTGACAGTTTAATAATATATTATATTATCTGGAAACAGAGTTTGCCCATTTAAACCTTGTAAACATTTCGCTATTTCATGTACGCAGTTCATTCGAACCACTAAACCCGTTTGGATTTTCAAACATGCGCCCAAATCGATATTGAGCAGATTGTACTTTTGTAAAAAAAATTGTGTTAATCACGCGATACCTATATCATAATATTATAGCTAAAGCGGAGTTGAGGTATTAAGTAAAACGTGGCAAAATTTTACGAGGAAGAAGATAATAAAATATAATCCCACCGACGGCGGCCGTGTGTACCTTGAATCGCCGACTATTTCGCGGTATACCTTCAATGCACCCACCACCCACATGCTGTCCGGATAATCGAGCGATGGGGTTGCGAGCAGAAAACGTCGGTGGTGGTCCGACCGCGGTGGCGTCATTACTAGTGAACTGGTCTTTTGTGCAGTCACAGGAGGTTCCACGTAACAGCTGAAACTACAACCTATATAAAATAATAACCGTACAATTATAACCATAATAATAGTATCGTAACGTCATGTAGTTGATTTTTCATCAATTGTTATTGACGAGATGACCGCTTTATACTTTGAGAAAAACAAAATAATAATCAGTGATATATCCCCGACAAACCCCTCTATGTTATTCCGATGTCATTTCTCGATGTAAAGAAAAAGGTTAAACCGAAAATAATATCAGGTTCCTATGATACTGTAATTGTTTACTTGGCAAGAATATTCTTACATTAAAATTTAAAATATATTTCTAGAATTTAGATAATGTGCTGACCTTAAAATTCAATACCTCTGCATATGTCCTCTTCCTGGTAAAAATTGCAGTGTTGAGTAAAGTATTTTGCTTAATTTTACCTCATATTTTTGGTGAACTTAGCCTTTTTATCTAAAATGGAACAAAGTGGAGGATTATTGTTGAGATTATAATATCTGATAACCAACAATAAATAATATTATAAAAAAAAATTGACCATTACTAAGTTCACTAGTTTAGGTAAATTTTATTTGTAAGATTCAATTGATTGTAGTGTAAAGTAAAATAATTTTTTAGATTCTGAGCTGAGTGACGAATTTTTTTTTACTTTTTTTTATATCCTCTATACAAAATGTCTACCAGAAAGAGGGCTTCGATTTCAACATTTAGTACTTTATCTTTTAGAAAATTGGATCAAGATTTTACTTTAGAGAGGTCATTTTTCGATTTTATCAATAGTTATTTAATGTCACGGGAAAAACCACCGAAAAATTACGAAAAACCTCTAAAAATGGGATTTTAATTTCTAAAGCTTTGTTATCACCATAGAAACGAATAAAAAATTATAATATTAATTAACTTACATGATAATATAATAATTAATATCTAACAATATAAAATATCCAGACTGACAAACCGTCTCCTCTCAGAATCGTTTTTCTTATACAATGATAGAATATCATTGAATTCAAGTTTGATACAGTCTATTATACAATGACCCAATTGCAACCTACTGTACAGCAGAGAGACATCCACTTACCCGCTTTTTTTTTTTTTATTGTATTTTTATGAGAAAATTTATAATTTGTACAATAAGGCACAATAAGTAAATATGATAAGGAATTCCAACATATAAGGTATTGAAATATAAAAAAAAAAAGAGAACCGTTTACAATAGATTATACGTCATAGTGATAACAATTCGAGGAGATCAGCCACCCATTATAGTGACACTTTCAAAGTAAAATAACTAAAAAATATTTTGTACCTATGTCTATATTAAGACGTACCTATCTGTGGTTGTCAGATATTATTATAACAACAGAAAAATTTGAAAATTATCGTAAGCTAAATATTCAAACAAAATACGGCGTATAATGTTCATAAAAAAAAGTAAAAAATGGTTTAATACGCAGAACTAAGTACCTACTGAAATGTGTTGTATAAAAATACAGTTTTATTTAAAAGTTAATTCAATAAATCTTCATATTTAAACTATTTTTCATTTTTATTGGCATTATTACTTTAAAAGTATATGGATTTGAAGGTAATAATAAAAGTCATAAAAAAATGAAAGTTTTAGCATATTATATAAC